CTTACAAATTCATCTATTGCGTCCTTTAGGACAAGCACTTGATTTATTGTTCCTTGTCCGATTCGCTCGGTCTCTTTTCCATTACTTATTTCATTAATTTTCGAAACGAGTTCGTTAGTCTTCTGGACAATCTCATTTGTCGCGTACATCAGTTGGGTATTAATTTTGTATTGCTCCTTATTATTGCTGATTAGTGTGTTCTGGGTTTTTAAGGGGTTGTTCTAATTTGTGGCATCTGGATTTGCCGCGACCCATTTCTAAGCTGAACCTATCCAGTCAATTGATCTTCGTCTTCTATCTTTTGTAACTTTGAGCTCAATTGGTATTTCTTGGACTTTTTGGACTAACTTTGTTATGTTGTTGCATAGTTGTCGAGAAATTAAATTTCTAGTGGCACCTTTCAGTTTTTGAGTTTTACTTCATTTTATCTTGTGAACTATATACATATTTGAAAGATTTGCCGAAGGATCTATAGAAGGGTTTGTAAGAAATGCTTTTTCAACGCTACACTACCCGAATAAGTTTTACGACAGTGATTATTGCGGATTGTATATCTGTATCACATAGTACAACCAAATAGTACATCGGAATCGATAAAGGGATATCGAAAGTTCCCATAAATTGGTCTTTCCCCAAGCAGACTTAGTTGACCATCCAATCTCTCTGCTGCTGTTATCTCGTATGGGAAGTGGAAGGTTTTAATGTTACCTTCAGGAATGGCTCTTTTAAATTCAAGTCCCACTTTTTTAATTTGCTTGGTAAATATTGTTTCATATAACTTCCGATTTTTGTGGAAAAGTTTTACGACAGTAATTATTGCGGATTGTAGATCTGTATCACATAGTACAACCAAATAGTACATCGGAATCGATTTAGGGATATCGAAAGTTCCCATAAATTGGTCTTTCCCCTAGCAGACTTAGTTGACCATCCAATCTCTCTGCTGCTGTTATCTCGTATGGGGAGTGGAAGGTTTTAATGTTACCTTCAGGAATGGCTCTTTTAAATTCAAGTCCCACTTTTTTAATTTGCTTGGTAAATATTGTTTCATATAACTTCCGATTTTTGTGGAGCATATTTGCTAATCGCATCACTCAATCTATTTAGTTTCGTTATGGTAGAAAAAGTTCTATTTAGGTTATCGATAATTGATCGAATTAGGTAAAACCTATTGCGATTGGAGTAATTTCGATCAGGTATTTTGCTTTTGTCGTTAAAATGCAAAAATTCTCAATTTGTAGAAACTCTTCAAGAATCTTGCTTGAAACTTCTAAATCCAAATCCGATTAATATTTGTGACACTGCATTACTGTTTTCGACTGTTTCTTTCATGCCTGTCGTGAAGTGACAATCGGCATTACCACCCTTGAGCAGTCTTGTATTACATCCATCTTCTGGTAACTTTTAGAGCTTTTGAGTATTGCTTACATGGAAACAATCCCCAATTATTTCATACGTTTGATCTTCATTTATCATTAAGTTCTGGTACTTAAGATCAATCTGTTTAACTAGCTCTTGCTAGAATCACTCCATACTTGAGTGGTGTTACTTTCGGTACTGATATCACATGGAGCAGAAGTGTTTCGTTGGTATACATTAATGTTTTGGCGTATTCTGCTGCTTCGATTACTTTGTGGTATGGTAACGATTCTTCTTCCGAAATTATTTTTTCTATTTCATGTTGGTCAAGTACATTCATGTTAACGATGCCAGTTTTTTTCCATCTGGGATGCTCTCACAATTTCAGAAATGTGTTCTTTTAGTACAAGGATTTTATTTGAGACAAGTATTTCCATTTTTTCTGAATCCATGCTTTTTCTAATAGAGTTATTTCATTAATTTTTCCAATTGACTTTGCTTGCTTTATATTAAAGATTTATAACATACTGATTGTTTGTTATTTATTACTATTTTCCTTTGTCTTTGAAGAATATTGTCCCAATCAATTGCATCTGGTGAACCAGCAATCCATTTCCAGGCGGATTCAATCCAATTTATGGATCGATGCCTCCTTTCTCGATTCATCTGTATTTCACTTAACATTAATTTCGTAATGTTTAGTTGGAATTCAATAATGGTCTTCAGAGGACTTGGTTCCATGCCACTTCTCATTGTTCTGATAATTTATTCTCTGACTTCTATTAAAGAATATATCTCTCGGCTTTACCGGATTGGATTGTGTTGATGTAGCGATCTACAGCGTTGTGTACTATTTCTTTAGTGTTTACTTTCTTTAACTTCTTCTGCAAGCATCTCAAAATATCTCCCTGTTTGGATTTCGGTGGGCTCTTTTGTGAATGTTTTCAATAATGCTACATACCCTTTCCTCGTTCGCTACATCTTCTAGAAGTGTGTGTAATTCTGATCTTATAAACATACAGAAGGCATCTTGTAAAAGCTGGATTGGGGTTTCGGGTATCTTTATTCCATTTATCATCATACGATTTAAGCGCGTTTTTTCATCTATTCTTTTCATCGTAATGTAGTGACGTTTGAGGATTTTCGTGGCAATAAAGTTCTCTACCTTCTTTTATGACAAGTTGATTTTTGAATACATTTAGTGGAGCTTCCATATGAGATATCAAATCCGTATCATCATGTTCGGCGTTTTGATGCAGTATCGGTATCAGAGAAATTCAGCATATTTACTTCAGTTCGTAACTTGGAAAGCCACAACATTTGATTTACCAGGTTTCTGAATCAATTCATGGTTGTATTCCTCAATTCATGACTTCCATCGTTTTAATTTAGCGTTATGATATCTATTGCCTAAAGCATACGTCATCAACCTGATCCGAGGGCCCAAACGATCGTCAACATTTCGTTCTCACTTGCAGCATAATCTTCTTCAGTTTTGCTTAGTGATCGAGATATGTATGAGATGGGCTTATAATTTCCATTTTCATGCTGCGATAATACAGCACCTATTACATAATCAGAAGCATCTATTGTTAGATTAAAAGGTTTGTCGAAATCTGGAAATGCTAATAAATCAGCTTTAAGTGCTTCCGCATCCAACGAAAACATAACACGAATGAAACCATTTGCTATTATTTGAGAGAACTCGCGCGTTTCATCGTTATCTGGTGTTAGATCTCATTGGTGGAAGATCTTTTCTGCTCATCATGTTTGTGGGTACAGTTATATACTTTCTTCGGTTTGAATGATAAATAGTATGGTTTCTATCATTGAAATTTTGTATACCGTGACACGCAATAACGCTACAAGTTAGATCTGAGGTTTTTGCACAATAATCATTCGAGACAAATCCGCACTAATCCCCTTATGAAAACATCTAATATCCTTGATCCTTATTATTTCCATGGGATGAAGTGGTTGGAGCTGGGGTGACTTGCAGGCTAGTGGCTTTCGCAATCTTCTTGCGACTGACAAAATTTTCTTGTTGTTATTGTTATTGCACATTCACTCACATACAATTTTAGCTAATTCCACGAATTTCGGAATTAAAGTCGCCTTATCTGGTCTGTCCTGTGATGGGACATCATTTGAAGAATTAAATAAACTTGAAAAAGATTTATCTCTCCAGTAATAGCATTCGATGGATGCTAAAAGCAAAAAGCTGTTGGATGTATCCATAATTCTGAATATGTTCTTCTTAATATATAGCCAATTTTTGTCTAAAAATAGTTCTTAAATTCACAATTAACAAGATCTTTACCTTTATACAATCCAATTTTAGTGTTGTTGGATGTATCCATAATTTTCAATATGTTGTTCTCTTTTTCTAATATATTATGGTTCTCCTTTCCCTATGTATCGTCTCCTAAAAGCTTCCGAAACCATTAGCCATCCATCGAAACCATGAGTTTCTCATCTCATGACTTTCCATTAGCCTTTATTTACCGTTTGGATCTTTGACTATTATAACTTCCTTCTGGACCATGAGTTATCATGACTTTCCATTAGCCTTTATAACCGTTTGGATCATTGACTATTATATCTTCCTTCTAGACCAATTCTCCAACCTCTAATGGGTTGCTGATATCATCCATTCTAGTTTTCTCTCTCTGTCTAATACAATATTTGTGGTTTTAGGATTTCATTATCTTGCCGTAGGTCACGAGTTATCCATAGTTCTAAAAGTTTCTGAAACCAGCAGCGATATACTACTTGAGTTTCTCTTCTTTGTGACCCTCAAATACGGTTTCCCTTTCACTACGTATCGACTGTCATCGCTATTTCTAAAAGCTACTGAAACCATTAGCGTTCCACTACCTAAGTTTCTCTTAGGCCTTTCCATAACCTTTATTTCCATTTGGATCATTCACCACGATTTTCTTTCTGTTCAAATTCTTCAACCTCAAATGGTTTGCTGATATTATCCCTTATAGTTTCCTTAATCTCCTATTCTAATATATTATGGTTCTCCTTCCCCTATGTTTCCTTAATCTCCTATTCTAATATATTATGGTTCTCCTTCCACTATGTATCGTCTTCTAAAAGCTGCTGCCCAACGTATTGACAGTCCTTTATAGTTCTAGAGGGAATGGAATTTCATTATTTTTTGTCTTATCTTGCAAATTAGTGGGTTATCTACCGACATATAACGGTTTTCATATAGTTTTTTACACTTCTTCAGATGAATGTTTGAAAACTTCCAGATTAACATATTTCCTTTTACAAAATCATTTCGATTTAACTTCAATTAACTTCTTCACTACTTCTTTTTAAGTTCCATACTTAAAGAAATGTTTTTTTTTTGTAATTTGATTATCACATAAAAATCTTTTATTTAAAAAAATTCTTAAAACTAAATTAAGCTAATTTGAACATTTAATTTTTGATATTTAAAATTGTTCTAATCCGCCAGACTTTGCTCCATATATTTAAATTCAAAAAGGGTCTTACAAGTTTCTTGATAAGTTGTCAATAATTTTTAGTTAATTATTCTATTTCGGAATACCAAAAATTTTATTTGTTGACAACAATATTACCATTAAGTTACAATTCTCAAAAATAGTTCAATTGTCTGCTTCAATTTATTTTAGTATTTCGATAACTTGTGTTAGGCCTTCATAATCTGAAGTTATATATTTATAAGAAAGTTTAAGAACATCTGAAGAATCTTCTATAGCAATATCCTAAAAAAGAAGAAAATTTATAAAAATGTTTAAGGCAAATTAATAAAAAAACCCTATTCCTTTCTACTTACCGATATTTTTCGTGAATATTTATAACTCTCAGGAACCATTTGCAAGCGATCTGTAGGAATTTGATGTTGATGTTTTAACAAGTGAAGAATACCGGGTACAACATCTGTGGTTAATACGCCACAAGAACTCAAATGTAACCGTTTTATTTTAAGACATTTTCTTAATACTTCTAAAACCGCACGATTTGAGATAAAATAACAATTATTTATATTCAATTCTTCTAATTCGTTTAATTGTGAAAATTTTTCCAAAATTTCATCATCAATAGAATTACATTTACAATGTAAAATTTTTAATCCTTTTAATTTTGCTATTAATGCAGCCTTTTCCGCATCAAATCCAGCCCACTCCACCACTTGTAGTTCTTGTAATTGTTCGGCTTGAAATTTTACCAAATTATGTAAAAAATCTTTGGATATAGATGGACTAATTATATTATTTCTTCTTATTTCCAGGTTTCTTAGATTAGGTAATTTTGCTAGACTATTGTAATTCTCTTCGGTTGTAGACATTTTAAGTGTTTCTAATTGTTTAAGATTTTCTAAAATTGTTTGATAATTTTGACTAGATAAGTTATTGCAATTTCTTATATCCAAAATTTTTAAATATTTAAGATTTTGAAATATTTTTTCAAAGTACTCAGTCTTGATGCGTGTGCAATTGTTAAGTGACAATTCTTGCAGACCTTTAAGTTCACAGAGGTAATTGCCTAAGAAGAAATATCTATAAATTTAAGAAAACTTTAACACTTTACTATGTTTACTCACCCGTTATCTCGGGATTATTTATTAAGGCCAAAGATTTTAAACGTTTTAAAGAACTTAACGATTTAATGGTTTCATCATTGACACTCCAACCATAATATTTCAGCGATTCCACATTACTGCAATAGGTTAATAAAAGCTTAAAGTAAATAAACTCCATTAAATAGCTTTCTTCTTCGAAAGGTAGTTCCACTTTTAGGTTTTTCACATAGGCTCCTATAATCGATAGTAGTACTTGCAGTTGAAAGGTTTGTAAAGTATTAAAAAATCTAGTATTTAAATTTGATTTATAATCAATTTTTAAACGTTTGGCCAATATATCACTAAAAGGTTGATACGATAGCAGCATATTAATACGATCGCCTATGGGTAACATTTTAAAAATGTGCTCCAGACAGTCATCATTTAGTGCTACCATCGAATTGTTTTGTTGGACTGGAAGAAAATATATATTAACTTTTTTGCTTTAAAATTTTCTCTAATCTAAACATACCCATTATTTCTTTTTCCGTTTACTACCAGTTCAAAGGACGTCAATTTCAAAACTAACCTGTAAACTCAAATTTTGGTGTTTACATTTTGTTTTCCAGTTTTCCACCCCTAACTCGGTTTTTTCCCAAATTTGGGGCGGCTGGCTAGCATTCAGATGTTTTTCTTTGTTAGAAACATTTACCTCTAGCATGTGGGGTGGTTTTTTACTTCCTTTTTGTCCAAATGTTTAGGAGGGTGGGTTTGATTAGTATTGACATTATAAAACAACTATGTTAGTTGTTACAATCAAATTTGTTAACAAGATGACAAAAAAGATGTTAAAATATAATATTAAACATTCAGATTCAGAGGTCTTAATAAAACCCTACCGACATCCTTTCCGAGATTAATATAATACCTAAACTTTCTGTCCATAATCTATCAGCGACATCAACTTCATTATTAATATGATCTTATGTACATTTAAAATCTATGGTTACAAGATGTTAGACTTTCTCTTAAATTTCACATCAAACCTCCGGTAAGGCTTAGCGCCTTGTCTGCCGATTTTGCACCAATATGATAGGAGTAGTACTGATTGTTTGGATCAATAAGCTCGAGTCTTTTGTTTATGGTTGTATCATTCGAAGATAACTATTGAACTAATGTGGCTTCGAAATCTCCTTTGACAGATCACTAACTGTTTCTTGATATAGAATTTGACGAGGTTGACATTTAGGTGGATTAACAAGAATATGAGTCTAACGAGATTCCCTCCTAGATCCATATAATCAGTTAAAGATGCTATAATGGTTGTATAGTAAGGGCCAGAGAACTTTAACCATAGACATTTCCATCAACACCATATCATACTCCTTTGCACCGTAGAAGTCAGGCTTCATCCAACATGATAGTAAGGTATTTGATCTATTTAATACTCATGTGCACTGTTCATGTTTGTATGATTCGAATTCAATTTGGACGAGAGTAGTCATTTAGATCCATAGTCTTCTTTTTCACCCAATACCAATCCTCGACCATTCACAACAAAGTGAAATAATCTTGACCAATCTTGATGACAATGAGTCGAAACTGAGTTTAAGAGTTCTCTCTCAATTTTGCACCGTAAAGATCTGGCTACGTCCAACATAGTGGTATAATATTTTCCGTTCGGTCTTGATCAAGTTTTTTTTCGAAGACAACTCGAACGTTGGCTTTCCTTTGGATCTATAATTACTCAACATTTTTCTAAATTGAATTCAAATTTTGCCTGTTTGCTAATGGAAATCTTGGAATAATTTAGATACATGATGAAGTTTTAAGATTTTTGGGAACATTAATGTCTATCATAAGTTCTGAAAGTGATATTTTAAAGAATTCTTTATAAATACTCCGGTTGAGGAATTTTCCATTTATTTCATTTGGTATTTCTCCTTTTAGTCCTTTTAAAAATGTATATGAAGCCTTATTTCTGTACGTCAGAATTAGTGTGTCCATAGCTTTCTTTCCTATGGCTATACAATAGTTTTTTTTTTTGGATCTGATTCGTTGCTACAATCAACTTTATTACCAAATGTTGATTGAAATCCAAAGGTGATTGGGTTATAAAGGTTGAACGATAATTCGTTTCCATCCACTATTCCGTTTTCGGTTAATCATCATGATATGTAGGAGAAAATCCTTCATCCAAATCAATAATATTAGAGAAAACACAGAGAAATATGTCATTTCTCCTTTCCTTTCCTTCTTCATTTCCTGATCCTCATCCAGTTTCACTTTCTTATGAATTTCCTCTAATAATTGTTTCATGTTCCTCTTCTTATTCTTGTTTTCTCCTTTTCCTTCACTTCTAAATTCGATCTACGTTGTATATGTCATTGGGTTTCACGCTCGTAACTGCAAATGCTCCCATATATTTTGATTTAAATTTAAGACCGGGCCAAACTGAGTCCTTTTAATAATTTGCGTTTATATTTCGTTGTTTTGATTTTCCGATGCAGCTAGCTGTTCCATAATTGTTTTTATATCAATTGTGTTAGTTTTCATGGTTAAAAACGTCAACTTTAAGAGCTGAAACATCATGTTTTGCGAGTGAAACACTTTTGTTTACATCTCTTAAAGAGAGAGGGATTCTTTAAAACACTTTGTATCATCATTATTTTACACTTCATCATCATCTCTCAGTTGCTGATTGGCTGCTATTATCGGCTATTGTAAGATAAGCATTGTTGCTGTTGTTACATCTATGGCATCTCCAATCAGCTCTTCTATTAATCGCCATATTCGTATAGGTTTTCTCTGACATGGAGAGAAGTGGTAAAGAGAGTTACATCCGTGACTCTTGACGAACTTCGTCGACTACACTTTGTTACATTGAGGGGCACATTCTGTTCCAAAATCGCATCAAATTGTTTTTCTTTAAATTCCACGACACTGTGGCATCTTTACCAAATTCTTTAGATATTTTCGTTATTATTTCAAATTTTATATCAGTTTTTCAATTTAAGGAAGAAAAAGTTCTTTTATATCCTAGTAACTTATTTAACTTGTCAAGGAATCCGTATCATTACCATTAGAAAGTCTAACCAATGGAAGTGCCTTACAAAGGCCGTTGTGTGAAAATTTATCTGTTCTACTTCATTTTCCTGAATATAATCCACCTGCATTTCCATATCCTCATTAGTTTGAATCTTGGTAAAGTTGATCAAGTTGGATGCGGCCCCAAAAAGGGCTTGGTTGGTAACGACGACGGAAACAGTCCAGTTTCCAAGGATTTACCAACGAAGAATTTAGAGTAGAGATCCATAAAGGCCAATACCACTTCTTTGCTCGAATTGAAACACTATAATTTTGTACATCATTGTCATGTAAATCCACTCCTCCCATTTCCTTTGTGGTAGTTTTTCAATAGTAGGAGTTGGTTATAATTTACAAAGCGACCGTGTTCTATTATTCTGCCATCACTATTGTTTTTGCTTTTTGCATCTTTTTATTAGCACAGTGGGATATAGCTGATCAAAATAGGTGGCCACTGTAACTTCTTTATTGTCCTGCCAGCGGAAAATTAAAATTTTATTGTTGCTGACAAACTGGAAATCATGATCGCCTCTTTCCAAACCTTTTCCGATTCTATTTGCCCGCACAGTACCTGTTGCACACAATCTTCTTTCAGTCAGTAGGCACATGAGGTAGTACGAAGTAAAAAGTTGTCAAAATACACCGTGTATCTGCAAATTCTATATTATCTAACAAGCAAAGAACCACATCGGCTCCTAAGCCAAATTCTTTGTTGTAGTTGTCTGCCGATCCAGCATAGGGTATGCAGTTATAAAGATATCCATTGGCCGAGCAGACCAATAGTTATGTAGCCAAGACCTTATTTCTTGGCTACATAACTTCACAGCAGGAACGCCTAATGTAGGGTGATTTAACCAATGATCGCGAGCTGCAGGCACAGTGTGATATACAGACAATACCAAAATACCTACGAATCGTTGTAACATAATATTGTCTAATACAAAATTAGAATTCTGCTGCTGAGCGTAGCGTTTTGTTTCCTCGATTATCATAGTATATAGAACCTCATCATCAAAAAATAGACTAAATAAAACTTTCGGCGTTTTTCCGCTTCATCAAGTGGTTCATTTATTGGGGTAATATCATATTTAAACTTGCCTTCACCATTTTTCCTTTGTGTCCACTTCGGCTTATCAAAATCTGATAACTATTTATACTTTTTATTTTCCTGTGGCTGAGTTTCAATTCGTCTTCTTTTTGACGGTTGAGTAACAATAGACGATGATGAGGGAGCCACTGGGCGAATGTTAATATCATCGTTCTTACTAAAGTCATTGAACTCATAAAGTTCACCTGAATCTTTCTAGCGCATTCCAATACACATCTGACTATTAACGAAACTGTTGCAGTATGTACATAATATAATTTGCGTTATATGATACTTACATCACCATGCGGAATCGAGTCATCATCAAAATCTTCTTCGTCTGTATTTTCATTTGTCTAGCTCTGCCTCCTTCCTCATCACTCCAGCTATCAATTATTGCCTCCAGCTCATATTTTGTAAGAGCGCGTTTTGATTCATTATTCAGAAGTTTTTTAATAAAATGTTTCCAATAGAAAATGAATTATTGAAAAGAATGCAGACGTATGGGTTAATATTATACGTTGCTAAATATTAGCCTTAGCTTCAAGAAAATGCTCTACTGGCACAAAAAAGTATCAACTTCTCTTTAGAAAGAAGTAAGAGCAAATATTCCATCACCTCCAAATGTGTTTATACTCTGAGATTCTTTAAGAATATCATTTATCAATAAGGAGAATGCCGATTGTATTTTGAATAAATTTCTTCTTACTGCTCCAGTTATTTAAAAAGTGCCAGACCATCGATAACAATACCACATTTTCATTATTAACAACATCACCGAAGTTTTTCAAATAACTTATTAGGCCTAATTGAATATATTTCCTGGCATCCATATTTTTAATTTAATTTTTAATGTTGATCGCGTCTCTTTTGGATCTATACAGATAGTGCCACATTTTTAGGTTTTCGGACATGCCCGCTACAATTTCGGTATTAAACATGTTGTTGCTTGAGTCAGTTTTCATTTGTTTAAATTGACATTATTTTGTTCTTCTTCTTGTTTTTTGTCATTCTCTTGTTCTATTTTTTAATTATTTTGTACTTCTTCTTATTAGATAACTTTCGTTAACTTTTAATTTTACAATTATGCTTTGTTGTTAGATTTTCAAATAGAATTTTTGTATAAAAACACTCGAAATATATTTTCCATTTAAAATTGTGAAAGATGATCTGTCAATCAGTAAACTGTAGCCAATTATGCTACTGAAGATATCAAAAAAGTGTTGCCACTTTAACTTTTAAAATTCATATCAAACAGTCTATACCTATACAATTTTGTCTATAGTTTACACCATTGTTTTGTCTA